GACAGCCAAGAACTACTTCAAAAAGAGCCTGAAAGACATGGGCTACGGGAACTGGATAAGCAAGCCCCAGGAGGAGAAGAATTTTTACCTCTGCCCAGTATAGTGTGACCCAGTGACTGACGGGTTGGGGGTGTTTCACACTGGGGCGAGAGAGGTAGGTCGTAGCATTCCTCATCACGTTGATCCAGGGGTGGTTTTTCTTTTCGTTTTTTTTTTTTCCAACGGAACCACAGTTGGTGATACTGAGAACTTTGGGTTCCGGTTTATCCTGCTTTCTTTGGGAATATGAAGCTGGGTCTAGCCAGGCCCCCTTCTCTTTTCCCAAGCAAAGAGTAGAGACCTGAGGGGAGAGAGAAGGGGTTATCTTTTCTTTCCGCCCAAAGTGTCAGCAGTCACTGAGCACCTGCAGCCCATTTCCTCCTCAGTTCTGTTTCGGATTTTTCCATTTCCCTTCCCTTTTTGTTTGCTACACTGACCTCTTGTGGTCTTGAGTAGGTTCCAGCCAGCTCCGTGTGAATCATGTCGGGGACTGATGCTTTCCTTTGTGGATTCTGCAGGCCCTCCACTTCCCTGCCTCCCTGTCTCAGATTCTTTCCTTGTGATCATTAAGTTTCTCCTTTTCCTCCAGGAAGGTAAAGAGGTGAACTTAAAGAATTTGGTGGAACACTTACAAGGGAAGGAGTTTAAAACTGTCGTCAGTTAATTACTGGTGCCAGGTGTGAGCAGAATCTGCAGATAATGCTCCGCAATCTTCAGACCTTGCACTTTAGCCAGCTTGGGAGGGGTCAGGAGGCTGAGGAGGCTGCAGCGCCGGAGGTGCATCCCTTGCCAGGCAGCAGGGGAGGCCAGCGCCCGCCAGACCAGCCTGGGCGGAGGAAATTGCCCGAGCAGTAGCGGAGGTTCCCCCTGCAGGGGTGACAGACCATTTCCCAGGAGGAGAGTGCAGACATGCCTTGGAATAATGCCAAGCTTCGAGCTGCCCCCCTCCTAAAGCATTCCTAGGTATTTGTCCTACCAGTGGGGGCATTAGGGCCATAGACCCCGGTCAGCTGGTAGGAAACAACCCAGGACAGATTCTAGGGGCAAATCATCTCTGCTCAGATAATCAGGACTTAGCAAGAATGAGGGCAAAAAATCACGTGGGGTCAGATCCCTGTTCCACCCAGCATCTTTCTCACGACAGTGATATGAAGGGAAGTTGACTAAATCATGGCTAAATTAGGAGTTGTTCAAAGGATGCCATAAATGTTGATTCTTAACTGCTACCGATAACCTGCAATTGTGCAGATTTTTTTTTTTTTTTTTTGAGGAAGATTAGCCCTGAGCTAACTGCTGCCAATCCTCCTCTTATTGCTGAGGAAGACTGGCCCTGAGCTAACATCCGTGCCCATCTTCCTCTACTTTATATGTGGGACGCCTACCACAGCATGGCCTGCCAAGTGGTGCCATGTCCGCATCTGGGATCCGAACCGGTGAACCCCGGGCCGCCGAAGCGGAACGTGCGCACTTAACTGCTGTGCCACTGGGCTGGCCCCGATTGCGCAGATTTAAAATCCAGATCTAATGCTCAGTTTATCCAAGTGCTTTTGTTTGGCCAGACAGCTTCAGAAGGTTGTTCACGAGCAGGTCACAGACCTGAGATCTCCCACCTGTCAAGGAATCTTTATAGGGTTGACATACAACAGTAGTTGTAGGTGAAAGGGCAGGTTGTCCTAAAACTCTGGGAGGTGGGACCCTTTGTCTACACCTCACGTTCACGTTGACTCCTGTGGTTAGAGCCTTCAGCCTCTCTGTGGAGTCTAGCTCTGGGCCTAAGTCAGCCAGACATGCTCCAGAGAAGTAGAGAGGCCTGTCACCTCCAGACCTGAGCCTGTCTCTTTCCTCTAGATGATTCCTCTGTATCTGTGAACATGCCAAGCCAGTGCCCTCAGCTGATTTTCCACCCTCCCCAACACGCCGCAAACCACCGACTAGTTAGCCCTCTGACCGTCCCCCTCTTCAACAGTGGATACATCCATGGTTGCACTTTTATTCTTGTGGCTACTGTTCCCTTTGTACTTCTGACCAAAATAAGAAAACTCAAGTTTTTTAAGTATACTAAGGATGTCTTTGTGGAACAGCAAAGTGTCCCAAGGAACTGGTAGGGAAATGGTGCCTGTCATCTGGCATGGAAGGGGCCTGCCACCCCGTCCTGTGAATCTGCTGAAGGCACGCAAAGTCAGTCCTGCCCCGGGAGGCAGCTCCTCTCCCTGGGTCTTCGGCTGGAGGGCACCACCTACTGGTTCTCGGGACGTTCAGCCCCTTGGGTCCACCCTCAGAATCTCCGGCAGAGCTCTGACTCACCGCCTCTTCTCTAACCAGGAGCACGGGCCGCTCGAAGGAGCAGAGCCCTCCCCTCCCCTCGGTCTCGTCTAACAAACTCGCAGTCTTCGGTCTCTGCTGTAGGGAGAGAGCCAGGCATCCCTGTACCCCCACGTGTCTGCTGGAAACGAGCCTGTGTCCGGCCCTGCACGGCCGTGCCCCCTCACACCCCTCTGAGTCACCCAGGACAGAGGCAGTCGAGCCCCCACCTAGAGTGTTCTCTTCACTTTTTTGTCCGATCTTTGTTTTTAAGCAGCAAGACCCCTGCCTCCCCCCCCTTTTTTTGGTTAAATGATCCTTGTAGTTGATTTGTCTGAACTGTGGCTCTTGTGCATTCTTTGAATAATCACTTGTACGAACTGTCGCTGCTTGAAGCTATTTCCTTACTTACAATGCAGACACTTTCTTGGTTTTTGGGGTCTTGGTAGTGACTCCAAGAGCAGAGTGGGGAAGAGCCCAAGCATAGACTTGGTGCCAGGATGACTGCAGTCAGTTCCATGATTCTGCTTTTTTGTGTCCCTTGGTAACAGTGACTAAAAATACACATTCCTGATAAATAAAAAAGAAGAATCGAATTGTTAGAAAGCCTCAAATCTTGGTTTCTTGGGGGAAGTGAAAGTGGGGACAGAGGGAGCTGTGATCCTGGGATTTTGGGTAACAGCATCAGCTGCGTCTGACACAGAACCTGGGGAGAGGGTCGTCCGTCAGCCGGCAGAAAGGAGCCATTTCAGAGGGCTCCCTGGGAGGTGAGCCTGTGTCCAGGTGGGGTGGGGGCAGCAGGCTCCACACACCCCCTTCCCCGTCAGGGCCCATAATTAAATATCTTGTCCCCAGAGGTTTGATAAGCAAGATTTCAAAGCCCAGAGCAGAAGAACATCCCCTGAGACAATACCACAGTGACATACACAACCCCAGCTCTCCGCGTGAAGGGTGTTTTTCCTCAGCCCTCTGCCCCCACCGGCTCTCTTCCCTGCAGGGATGTGCATATATGGAATGAAGTTGCAGCAGAGACCAGAACTGGCTTGGCTGCAGTCTTAGGAGACAGGCCATTTGCTTTCTGTTTTATTGAAGGTAGCCTGAATGTCTCTCCACGTTGAATTTCAAAGAGGATGCACCACTTTCCACATTGTAATTTAGTCCAGAATTTCTGCAACACTCATCTTTGACCTTTTTTTTTTTTTTAAAGATATACCTTTTTTTTTTTAATTTTTTTTTTTTTTTTAAAGATTTTATTTTTTCCTTTTTCTCCCCAAAGCCCCCCGGTACGTAGTTGTGTATTCTTCGTTGTGGGTTCTTCTAGTTGTGGCATGTGGGACGCTGCCTCAGCGTGGTCTGATGAGCAGTGCCATGTCCGCGCCCAGGATTCGAACTAACGAAACACTGGGCCGCCTGCAGCGGAGCGCGCGAACTTAACCACTCGGCCACGGGGCCAGCCCCTCATCTTTGACCTTTTAAAAATGGTGTCATACTAGAGGACCCAAAGTACTGAACAGCGAGGCTGAGTCACAATGAAGGCTCCGCCCTCATCCATTGTACAGATGGGACAACAAGGCCGGGAGGGCCAGTGGCCTGTTTGGGGACACCTTAAGTAAGGGTCAGAACTCTGCATGGGTGTTGTTCATAATCTGCTGAAATACAGTGCTAGGTGAGCTGAATAGTTTAAAGACGGCGAAGAAGAACGTCTCCACCTGCATGATGTACCAGGGATCTCCAGCACATCTTCCTGTCTCCTCAGGCAGCTCCCGGTTCCACCTGGGGGGAAATGTAGTGTCCAGGGCTTTCAGAAAGGAGACAGTTTCCTTCGCACCTGATGTGAGTGCCAGGCACATCTGCAGACGGAAAAGCCTGTCCTCCCCACCACCCACCTCCGAGTGGCCTGGGAAGCAGGACTGCCCCGTGGGGACATGAGAGGAATTTTCTTTGTTTCAGTTGCTGTTCAGTCTGCATTTCATCTAGGGAGCCCACAACTTAATACTGTTTCCAGGATTTGGGGCCAGATCAAACCAGTGTTCTGGGAGCAGGTCTGGCCTCTGGCTGTGAAAGGAAGCCCGGCCGTCCTGCCTCTGGGAGACTGGTCCTCACCTCTGCCCTGTCCTCCAGGGTCCCTTCTTTTTTTTTCTAAAGATTGGCACCTGAGCTAACAACTGTTGCCAATCTTTTTTTTTTTTCCTGGTTTTTCTCCCCAAATCCCCCAAGTATATTTTAGTTGTGGGTCCTTCTAGTTGTGATATGTGGGACGCCACCTCAACGTGGCCTAATGAGCAGTGCCATGTCTGCACCCAGGATCTGAACCGGCAAAACCCTGGGCCGCCGAAGCGGAGCGCAGGAACTTAACCACTTGGCCGTGGGGCTGGCCCCCAAGGGTCCCTTCTTTAAAAAGGTCTTCCCCGGAACCTATTTCTGGGCTTCATCTGCTATGGGGCCCACATTTGGCCATTTCTTCTCCATCTGATGAATGGACTTGTAAGGCAACATATCACAATAATTAAAGTTACCACTGACCTTTTCTTTAGAGTCTTGTAATGTCTTTAACCTCATGAGTCCCGTTTCCCCAGCACGCTCCCTTTTTCCCATATTTGCCACCCCCGACCCATGAGAGTCCTCCCTCTTTCCCCAAAACATTACAGAGAGACAAGACATCTTTGGAAACAACTTTCTTTAAGAGAATCTTGAGTTCCTAATGAGTCTGGCCTGGAATGGGCTAGACCAGTGCAAATATTCCAGGAGCGTAGATAAGGGAGGCCAAGGCCAGTGTCAGGGAGATGGGGGCACTGAGGGTGGTGAGTGAGGGGTCCTAAGACTCCTGGACCTACAGTCCCTTAGGAAGCATGTGAGTATCACACTGACCCCTCAGGCCTGTGGGATGAATAGTCAAAGGTGGCTGCTTGTTCTGTCTAGTCTGGCGGGTGACTGGCCAGCACCAGGCAGGCTGTGAGTGATGCTGTGACACCAGCCCAACTCTGCTTAGAGCAGAGGTAACAACTGGATCTGAGTCCACTCTGGCTCGCGTAGTGAATTCAGAGAGGACCCCAACTGCCCCTCACTTTCCTCCCAAGGAGCTCTCCTCCCACTGGCCTCAGGCCACGGCGAGAGCATGGACTCGATCAGTCTGGGTTTCAGGCACAGCGCGACTCGCTAGCTGTCACTCGGCCTCTCTGAGCCCTGCTTTCCCTTCTGTCACAGGGGCCCCTTCCCTGCAGGACTGTTGTAAGGAAGCAGTGGCACAGAGCAGGCCCTGAGCAAACAGGAGCTAATCAGGGGATTGGGAGGAGAGCAGAACAGGGCTCAAAGCCCCCAAATCCTCCGTGTACTTAGAGGGAAACAACCTTGCCCCTCCTCCGCAGACAGCTGTCCTGTGCAGAAATGCCAGCTAGGGGGCTGCCTGTGTCTCGTTTGCTTTTCAATCTTCACTAACGTGGTGCCAGCTGTTCCGTGTTAGATTCCTCACTGCCAGGAGACTGCCTTCCTCCTGCTGCAATGCCAACCCTCAAAAGCAGAGAGTCTTTCATGCCCTCTTTTCAGACAAAAAGAGCTCTCAGATCGCGTTCAGCCTTGCCGTCTGATGGAGACAAGCCCAACTCGTTTCCTCACTGCCCCCCTCCCAGCCCACCTCGCTTGGATTTCAGTGCGGTATCTCTACCTCCCACTTCAGATCTGGGGCCTCTGGTCCTTGCCCACCGCTGAGCTGGGCACCCGATTCTCTCCAAGGAGCTTCCCTGAGCACACTGAGGGAAGAGGACAGAGGACCCAAGGGTAGAGGAGACGGGTTCTCCAAAGCTTCCCAATGCCCCTGAGGGTTCACACTCTGTACTGACATGTGGTAACACCTTGCCCATGCAGTGGGACCCTCCTTCTTCCCCCTCGGCCCTCCCTTCCTCCCTACTGGCATGGTCCCCAAAGGGCTGCACCCAGTGATGGAGGGAATGGCACTGCCCCAGGGATCTGCCCGGTTAACCCTTCATATACATTGATCCCTCTCCCTTGCTGCAGCCCTCGGCCAGCTCTGTCATCCCCACTTTACGGAGGAGGATGAGCAAGTTCAGAGTTACGTGCTATGCAAGGTCAGGCAGCAACCTCTGGGCCTCGAGTTCCTTACGTGTCAGATGGCTTGTGGAGAGGAGCTGGACAAGCTGCTCTCCAACAGCCGCTCCTGCACCGTCTGGTGACTGACTTGGACAACAGCTACTTGTGGGAAGTACTAACAGCAAAGATAGCCAGAGCAGCAGCCGACGGGGCCTCGCCAGCAGCCCAGGCGCTGGTAAGGAGTCCAGGCGGGGGTGTCTCAGGCTGGCACCCTACCTTTCAGAAGGAGGCCCCTGCCCTTCAGAGGGAGGGTTTCTTTCCAGTTGCTGTTTCAGGTTCTGGGATGTTTCCTCAGGGCTATGAGTTTGAGGGGGGTCCAGACAGTTCTCAATTTGCTGTTCTGGAAGGGAGTCTCCATAGTGCTGAGACTCCCCCACAGAAGAGATGTCCATGAGCCCACTCTGGCGGGTGGGGAAGTGCGCTGAGGCACATCTCGCATACCTGCGGGCTTAGTCCCAGTGGTGCTCTTCTACAGCCAGTACAAGACTGGATCAGCCCAGAGTCCTGTGGTGGGAGGAGCTGACACAGAGGAGGCCAGGCCAGGGCCAGAGATCAGCCCAGGAATGTAATGACACTTTGCTGAGGATGCTCCAGAGAGAGGCCCACCCATGAGACTCCCTGAGCATTCCCTGTACTGTTCCTCTGCAGCTGCATCCTGCCAGCACCCAGCTCCCCCAGCATTTATCCGGGCCCTGTTTCGGGGGACTTGGTTTGCTTGAGGAAGAGATAGGGCAAGGAAGGGTCTGGGACGGAGACTGACATTACAGTCAGATGACCCCACTCCCGTCAGCTCTGACTGCCTCTCAGACTCCACATTCGTGAAGCATCTACTCCGTGCCAGGTACAGCACTGGGCTTTTTCACCAACATCACTTCATCCTCACAGCAAACCCAAGAGGACGTTACTACCCTATTTTATAGGTGAGGAAGCTGGGGCCTAGCAAGGCAAAGAGACTTGCTGAAGCTGGCTGAGCAAGTAAGTGGCAGAGGTGGGACTCGAATCCAGGCTGTGATCCCTGCCAAGCGCCCTTCACCTGCACTGTGTCTCCTCCCACCCATCAGTACCCCCTCCACCTCTGCTGTGCCTGGAGAAGTGGGAGTCCAGCTGGGCTCCAGAGAACATGGAGGTCTGTATTGGGCAGGACGCTTGTGTGTGCTTGGCAGACTCACCCCTCTGGGACCAGCTACCTGCTGGCCCACCACTGAGTACAGGCTGGGACCACAGATCAGAGCCAGTCATGTGGTGGCCGCAGGGGCAGGAGATCCCGTGAAAGGTCTGTTTCCTGGGCTAAGAGGCCAGTGGCATCCAGCTGGACCCTGGGAGGAGTGTCAGGATAATGCCTCCAGGGACCCACAGGACAGGAAGCCAAAGGTTGTGTTTTCTGAGGAGCCACTGGCAGCAGCAGACCCGTCCTTTGAAGTTCTGCTTCCAGCCTGCTCAGGTTTGGTTGGGAGGGAAAGGGGAGGGGCCAGAGCAGGAAGGACGGAAGCGTGAATGGAAGGACCGGGGCAGGAGCAGTGCTGATGTGGCAGAGTTCCGGCCGGTCACTCCCTGCTTGGCTGGCCTCCACAGCCGCTCTCGCCCGCCCAGCCAGCTCTGCTGAGGGCAAAAAGGCTGGGTCTGCTTAAAATTAAAGTCCTTAGTTTACTTCCTTCAAACAACCAGTCAGTTCAAGTGGGGAGAAAGCCTGTGAACCGGCACTTCTCGTATAGTTCAAGTACACGGACCTCGGACTCCAAGCAGGCCACCCAAAGACTCAGAACTCAGAGGCTCCCCTAATACCCAGCCTTGCCCGTCACACCGTGGCCTGAGCAAAACAGGAGAGGGAAGTGCAGGGGGTGCAGAGAATTCTTCACGGGGAGAAGGGCTGGGCTCTGGACCCCTTAGAAGCAAGGTCCTGGGGGACTGGGCCGGACGCCCCCCCTGAGGAATTTGACCACAGCACAGGCTAACCCTCTGGGCAGGAAGCTCTGCCCGCCGTGAGGCCCACCCGGCCCAGCCGCTGTCCACTTAAGCAGGGGCAGACGTCAGGCCACCCAGACCACTCTCCTCTTGTTCCTCCCTTCTGATCTACCATTGTGTCAGGCCAGCCCAGCACAGAGTCAGAGTCCCTGTCCCTCCCACTCTCCTCCCGCATACCCCTTCCCTCATGACTTTGAGGCAGCGAATGATTCTGTCCCCTTCTTTGCCCCTTCCCCAGCACACTTTCCTCAGGATGGACGGCTCCAACATCTCTGTCCTCCGCTTCTCAGCCTTCATCCTCGACCAGCAACACTATTGCCTGGGTTGGTACAAGAGGAGAAGGAGAGCAGCCAAAACACAAGGCAGCTGGTCCAGCCTCCAGGTCGGCGCTGGCGGTGTTGGGGGGGGGGGGGGGGGGGGAGGGGCTCCAGGTGAAGTGAAAGGATGGATCTGTGGGGGCAGCGCCCCTCTTCCTGGTAGCTCGCTCATCCCTCCTCCACCCAAAACTATTGTACAACAGAGGGCAAGGTGGGGAAGGAGCCTGGAGCTGGGGAGGGCCTCACTTGGAGCTGGGAGCCGAGTGGTCTGCATGGAGGAAGGTGGCAGTGGTGTAGTTCTGGAACAGAGGCTGCAGGAACATGCCGATGGTGCCAAAGACACAGACGAAGACAAAGATCCAAAGGAACAGGCGGTCGATCACCATGGCGACATACTTCCAGTCCTCACTCACCTGGACAGAGGAGAGGAGAGAGGCCCAGGTATCAGTCACATGATGCAGGACAGGAGTGGAATGGGGATAAGGAGGTCCCACCACATACACACACATCATTCCTCTCCCTCCATGATCCCACAGTGACCCAAAGCATGGCTCCAGTCTTGCCTGCTTAAAAGCCTCCAGAGTGGCCTCACTGCCTGCAGAGCCCATACAAACTCCCAGGGCTTGAATTAGGACCCACCTATGACAAATCTGAGCCTACTTCCTATCCTCTTCTGCCTTATAACCAGACTTACCAAAGCCCAATGTGTCCTCTCAGGTCTCTGTGCCTTTGGGTTTCCTGTCTATCTAGGATTTCAGTCTTCTCTTTCTCTACCTGGTGAACTCCTACACATCCTTTAAAGCCCAAATCAAATGTCAACTCGTCTATGAAGGCTTCCCTGATCCACTCGACCAGAATGAACCACTGTCTCCTCTGGGTTCCCTCAGCACTGTGTCCACATCTCTATCACAGTATTTTTACTGCATTGTATTGTCATTTCAACTTGCATGTCTGACTCCCATTCCCCCATCTATAAGTTATGAGCTCCTAAACTATAGAGACCCGAACTGATTCATCTTTGTAATCCCAGCATCTGGAACACAGAGTGTCAGTAATGGGTGTTGAGTCAGTGAATGAATGGCTGCCTCTGCGGGCCTTGTTCCTTATATGACTGCATGGGGAGCCCCGTCCAGCAGCACCGCCTTGAGCATGCAGGCCCCAGGGGTGAGGACTGGGTCCCAGATGGAAGCAAATCATTCAAAAGAGAATAACCTCTACAGGGCCTGCACGAAGGGCTGGCCTCCACTCGGAGCTGCTCCACTCCCGTCTGAGTCTGGGCCTCTGTACACATGTTCACCCGCAGCCTGGCAAGCAGGAGGATGGAAAGGAGGCAACTGTGCACCTTCACTAGACATCAGCTGTATAATGACTCATCCATGTCACACTTGTGCCTACTATGTACCTGGCACCAGGCTAGGCATGGGGAGATGACTGAGAGCAAACAAACAATCCTACGGTTTACATCTACTGAGGGAGACAGACGCAAAACAAGTAAAAATAAAGTAATTACACAGTGCTGGGTGCTTAGAAGGAAACAAAGAACTGAGATAGAGGAATGGAGGGGAAGATATAATTTAGGGTGTGGTCTGGGAAGGCGTCTCTGAGGAGGTGATGTTTAAGCTAAAATCTGGTAAGTGAGAAGGAGCCAGCTGTGTCAGGCATACATTGAAGAAAGAAACAACCAGACAAACCCAAACTGAGAGACCTTCAACCAGCCTGTACCCTTCAAAAATGTTTATGCCGTGAAAGACAAAGCTGAGGAACCGTTCCAGATGGAAGGAAACTAAAGAGACAGGAGAACTACATGCAATTCGAGATCCTGGATTGAGGAGCGGGGGGTGAGGCTACAAATGACATTACCGAGACAATTGGAAAAATTTTAATATGGACTTTATATCAGATAAAGGTATTGCATTGATGCTAAAAGTCCTGAATTTGATCATTGAACCTGGGTGATGCTAGACAATGTCCCTTTTTTAGGAGAAACATGCTGAAGTATTTGGAATAAAGTGTCACAATGTCTGCAACTTACTCTCAAACAGCAAAGCAAAAATTAAAAATAGTAATAATTTTTAAAAGGAAAAGAAAAGGGCATTCCAGGCACGTGCAAAGGTTCTGAGACAGGAGAGAGCTTACCTCGCTCAGAACAGTGGAGCAGATAAGCCAGTGACCTGAGCGAGGGGGAGAAGGCACAAGTTGAGAAGGAGACACGGTCTATTTGGATGGAGGAGCAAAGAGCTGAATCAGGGAGGCCATTAGGAGTCTCTGTCCTGGTCCAGGCAAGAGCTGATGGAGGCCTACAGCCCTGGGGGGAACGTGGAGATGGTGAAGAAAGGATGAAGCTGAGAATTATTCTGGAGATTGCGCCCACAGGACAGGACTTCTGATGATTTGGATGGTGGGGGAGGTCAGAGAGAAAGAGAGGAATCAAGGATCACTTCAAGTTTTTGGTCTGAACCATTGGGTAGAGGATCGTGATGTCATTTGCTAAAAGATGGGGAGGTTGGAGGAGGATGAAGTTGGTGGCGGGGATGTAGATCAAGCATGCAGTTTTGGACATGTTAAGTTTGAGATGCCTGTGTAGCGTTCAAGTAGGTCACTGCATCTGCGGCACCTAGCTCACTAAATGCACATTACATGAGTAGACTGCAGCAAGGGACGTGGAGGCAGTGACGTAGCTGGGCTGAGCCCCTGCACCCCCTGCATCTCCCACTTGGCCTCAGCCGCCTCCACGCCTCCTGCCCCATCTCCTCCAGCCTCAGTCTCCCTCTTCCTCGACATCAGGACCATAACCTGCTCCCTAGCCAAAGCCCCAGCTCCAGCCTGATATCCTGCACTTCCAGGGAACAAAAATTTCAGGCTTTGAAGCCCCCTCCTAAACAGGAGCCTGTCCTTCTTCACCCCCAAAATGGAATCCCCATGTCCCAGCAGAAACCTGGCCAGTCACCATGGCAACAGCTGAGCCACAGCCTGGAACCAGCCAGGCAGCCAAAGACTGACCCAGGCGTGGGGCCGCCAACCACAGCCCAAGGTGAGAGGATGTCAACCCATCATGCCTCCTCCCCAACCCTTGGCTCAGAGCTCAACGAGTCCCTTCTGGGGAGCCGCTGCAGAAAGAGCTGCGTGTGCAGAAAGCTGGGGGGAGGGTCTAGGAAGCCCTGGCCTCCACTTGCTCCCCCCCCCCATAAATATTTCAGGAGGCCATCCCCGGGGACCCCGGGAGCAGAAAAGGGTTATTGATTTGGGACTCTGTCCCCTCCACCTCAACTGGGCTCATGGAACCTCTTAAATCCCCACCCTCATCCCACCCACACACCTTCTACTGCCCTCAATTTTGTCCCCCTTGGGGGGCACAGAGGACTCATTGCCGTTTGTGCTAAGAGCTGCAGATTAACAACTCGAATTTGGGAATACAAGCAGTGGGGAGGGATTCTCGGGGTCACGGCCACAGGCTGACTGCAAACCCAGAAGGCCTCCTCCCCTTCCTGGCCGCCCCCCCAGCACTAAAATGCCCCAGCTGCGGCATTTCGCCCCGGATACTAGTCCTCAGGAAGCCTCAAGGTCGTTCTGTACCGACTCCAACTTAGGCGGCGCCTCCCGGAAGCCAATCGAGAACCCAAGCGAGCGCCCACGCCCTCAGCACCAGGCTGGACTCGCGCTTGCCGCATCCCGCACTCCTATAGCTTTGCGTGTCTACACAACGCCGCGGCTTTCCAGATCCCGAGGGCCTTGTAGCCCCCGCATCTCACGCCCGAGCCCCGCGCCGCACTCACGCTCTGGTCGTCGTCCTCACTCCGCATGTGGTCCGCAATGAAGCGCACGCCGTCCACCGCCTCCCGGAGGCCGCAGCCACACGGCCCCCCGGAGCGCCCGGGGCCGGCTGCCGGCGCGGGCTCAGCCCCGAAGGCCCCGGCCAGGCCCTGGACCGAGGCGCGGTTGACGAAGCAGGTGCAGGAGTCGGCCCCCGGGGCTTCGCGGAAGAACAGGGTACCCGCGCCCTCGCGCTCGCGCTGGCGCCGCCGCAGGCGCAGGCGTTGGCGGGCGCAGCGGTGGCGCGGCTGCTGCATGAAGAGCAGCGTGGGCAGCTTCTCCAGGAAGACGACCTTGACCCAGGGAGCCATCGTGTGCGTGGTGGGCGAGCGGTGGTGCACGTTGAGCACGCACACGCTGGTGACGATGGAGAAGGTGACGAGCACCATGGTGAACATGAGGTACTTGCCGACAAGCGGCACGTCGAGGGAGGTGGGCGGCACGATCTTGGAGATGAGCAGTAGGAAGACGGTGAGCGCCAGCAGCACAGAGATGCACAGCGTCATCTTCTCACCGCAGTCGGACGGCAGGTAGAAGACAAGGATGGCTAATGAGGTGATAAGCACGCAGGGGATGATGAGATTGATGGTGTAAAAGAGTGGCTTGCGGCGGATGATGAAGTCGTACGTGATGTCCACATAAGTGGAATCCTCCGGGTTCTCATTGCGCCGGCCTGGCAGCGCCACAATGTCCCACTCACCACTGGGCGTGAAGTCATCCAGGCTGGCCACGTCACTCTTGAGCACCAGGTCAATCTCGGTGCGGTCGTAGGTCCACGAGCGGAACTTCATGGTGCAGTTCTGCTGGTCAAATGGGAAGTGCTTTACTTCAATCTTGCATGCGCTCTTGTAGATGGCAGGCGGCAACCAGAAGATGCTGCCGTCATAGGAGACCACGGCATTGGAATAGAAGGACACCTCGTACATGCCGTCAGCACTGCCGAGGGATAAGCACAGTCAGCCCTGGCCTAAGCGTCCCCCCACCCCCCCACCCCCACCCATCACCCCAGCCCTGAGTGGGAGGAGAGGAAAGGCAAAGTGAGGTAAGGGTAGGGGAAACCCGGGTGGGAGGGTAATAATTCAGGAGTCTAGGGAGGTGGAGCAGGAATTGAGTAAGAAGGGGATCTGGGTGGGTTGGTGGGGAGACGAGGTGTCCTGACCAGGAGGCCCGTGAGGCCCCTCAGAGACACAAGAGGGTGGATGGGGGTGGGGGGTGGGGGGAGGGCAGTGACAACGACAACAAAGACCTGGATGGATATGTTTGCTACTTGTCATGCATTATGTAAGCTGCTTGCTCCACATGAGAGTGGAGAAGTTGGAGGAACCAGGGAGGACAGAGTGAGGAGCCCCAAGCAATGGAGTGGGGCAGAGGCTGGTGGGAGCGGGAGATGGTCCCACCAGTGGTTTTGGATCTTGGAAGTAAAGAGGGATTATTGCAGGAGAGGGGATGGAAGCTGGAGAAGAAGCTGGGACCTCCAGGTTCTTTGATCCTGCCCAAGCCTCGAGGAAAGCCAATTCCTGAATCAGTTTAGGCACTGGGGGCTGTCAATCCTCGTGTGTATCCCACTGTAGCTCCAAACACTGGGACTCCTAACTGAACGGGAGGGAACTGGCCACGGCCCCAGTCACCTTGGCCATCCACATTATACCTCACTGGTTTGGGTCTGTCTGTCTGGGTAGTGACTGTGTCTGTGCCAATGAAAAGTGCCTTCTCTCCCCTGGCATGAGCTAATTTACTTTCCCCAAGACCCCTTCCCTCCCTGAACACTCCCATGGTCTCCTCCAGTCTTCTCATTTCTCCACGGTCACCTACTTGTTGTATAGGACCACATCTGGGAGCCAGATGTGTTTGGAAGGGAGCCGAACTTTCTTCATGTTGTCAAACTCCTCAGGCTTCCAGGTGAGGCGATAATCCTCCCACTCCTGGGAAAGGGAGAGAGGGAGGCAGCACCAACCTCTGCCCTGGGAGGGGCTCAAGGTCAAGGACAGGGACAAGAGGGGCCCATCTGGCATGAGGAAGCTTTTAAAAGCCATCGCCTCCCCACAGTGACTTCTCTGCCCAGCAAATATGGCTCATAAGGTACTTTCTCATTTAATTTGCACAACCAAGGGAAGGTATTAGAATCTACATTTTACAAATGAGAAAAGGAATCTTGCAGAGTTTAACATGTTCAAAGTCACAGAGCATGTGAGTGGAAGAACCAAGATTTGAATCCAGTTGTTTAGGACTCCAAAGTCTATATCTTTCTGCTTGTCTTGAGGAGATTAAATGAGGGAAAAGCAGGAGGAGCACACTCACCTGGGTCAGCCAGACATTGGTGGTCATGACCTGCTCCCGCTCATGCTGCAGTGAAGAAAGAAGCTGCTGAGAAGGGCCCCCAGACTATAGGCCCAGTACAACCACCCGTGGTCCCTCCCACACCTCCCTAAGCCTCGACGGCTCCAGAGGAGTAAGTGCGAACGTGAACACATTCCCGTTGTGCTGACTTCATCGGCTGGGCAGAGTCTGGGACCCCCACTCACCACACTGATGAGCTGGGCCAGTGATACCATGAGCTGTACTGTCACCAGCTCAGAGCCGTTGGTGGCTGGGCGGATAAGCTTGTTGTAGCGGGAAGGATCCAGGAGATGCTCCACCAGCCGCTCCTCCGTGTCCGTACCCCAGACTCCTAGGCAAGGGGATGGGGTCGGGGGAGGGGGGAAGAGGTAAGTAAGTAGGCAAGGAAGGCCCACTCGGAATCCCACACCCCTTAGGCAAGTGGGACAACCCAGGCGCAAACAGGAGGGGCTGTAGCTTCCCACTGCACCATCCCTAAGGACACAGCAAAATGCTTAGGTTACCCCATGGAGGCCCCCAGAGAAAAGCCCCTCTCTGAGGTCACTGACCGAGGAGCCCAGACAGCCACCCAGAGAAGCCTCCAGACTAAGAACCCATTCTGCAAGGATTAGTGGAGACCTGCTCTTCCTGCATGGTTTCAGAAGGTGGTTTTAAGACTTGAGATTTGTTTCCACGGCTTCTCCTAGACGATACCTCTGATTCACAGAAGGTTTTGGAGGGTGGTGAAAGGGGAAGTTATTTGTGTCCCACTACACAGGTTTCCTCCTCAGTCAGTGCCCACCTATGTGTACAAGTGACATTCTATGCCTACACATGTGACTGTGGCTGTGACCCCACACTTCCCCTCAAAGGCACTGGGTTGGAGTAGAATAGTTGGGCTGCCTGAGCTGTGGGTGAGGGCATAAATATAGTCCCAAGTTCCACACACACAGGAGCCCACCTCCCATGAGATGGCATGTAGGTGTGAAAGCTCGTTGAGTTGTACATTCCCTTTGTACCTACCCCTCTACACAATCTATCTTCTTCTGCAACTCTGCACAAACGCATTCCACCCCCTCAGAGAGTTCCCCCCTGGCCCTCCGCCTGCCAGAGCTTCTTCCCTTCCAAGTCTCCTGTCCTACCCTACAAGAGAGTTGAGAAGTCTCTTCTCCCCTTCCTGCCTTGCCCCTGTGGAGTGAGCAGAACTAGGAGCCCAATATGGGGCCAGGAAATGATGGAGAGCCAAGAGAGGGTGCTGAACCAGGTAGATTTCTTGAGATAATGTTTCACAAGAAGTCAAACGGCATCTCAGTCACAATCAGAGTCTGCCCTCCTGCCACCCTAGAAAGCCGGGGGAGATCGCCTCCCTCCTTCCTCTCTGTGCCCACCCTCCCCACCACCACTGCCGTTTCCATCTCTTCCTTGCAGCACTTACTCCTTCGGGTATGCCCTCCTCCCAGTTCATTCTCCTAGGTGCTCCCTGTAGTCCCAGGGGTCTCTCCCGACCCCCGGCAGATTCCCCCACCTCTAGGAATCCCTCCCTTCCACCGTCGAGCCTAACTGAGGTGAGATAGCTCGGCAACATGTCCTTACCTGAGCACAGCCCGAGGAGGCCAAAGCCGAGGAGCAGCGCCACGGGGCCGTAGCGCAGGGCCATGCCTCCAGCATAGCTCGCCGCCCGGCCTAGAGAAGCCAGAGCGCGCCGCGGGCGGGAGGGCCGCGGGCGGGGCGCTGTCCGTGGTGCTGAAGCCGCTCCCGCGCCGCTGCGCTCGGCTGGAGCTGGGCCCTGGTGGTGCTCGCGGCCTTCGGTGCGGCTGTGCCGGGGCCTGGGGCGCCAGGAGCGGACTGCAAGAAGGAACCAGCTTGTCGCTTATCCCGGTGTGAACAGGCGGAGGCTTTTCCGGCCGCTCTTCCAGGGAATACAATTGGGATGGTGAGGGGGAGGAGTCTCCGCCCCGGAGGCGGAAGCGCCAGATCCCAGAAAAAAAGTGGGTCCTGGGATGGGATATTCTTCTGCTGGTCCCGCTTAGTTAGGGCGTGCGTGAGGCGGCAGAAGGACGGTTCATGGGACTGTAGAAGAGTTCTGAAGCCTCAAAGTTGGGGCAGGACTTGGAGGGGTCTGAGAAGGGGCGGGAGGAAACAGCGCGAGTAAGACAAATAGGTCAGGATCCGCTTAGTACAGGGGGGCCGAGGGCCAGAAAGAGGGGGCGGGAGTGCGGAGGAGTTTCTGGGTTCCCGCCCTCCTCTTTTTCTCTTACCAAACCTAAATGATCCTGCTTCTCGGGAAGGCTGAGAATGCAGCCCACAAAATGCATTTCAGGCCCTTAGAGAAAGAGATGGTGGGGCGGGGTGTGCTGTGGGTTTGCTATTTTAAGAAAGCAAACAGCTTTGGAGTCTGGAAACAGGATCCCCTTCCCTGTCCCCTTCTCGACCTCTGTAAACTCCCTAAAAGGCCAAGCTTCCTGCCCTCCTCCAGGGGGTCCAAGGTGGGGACATCTGGACATGGCCTGAAAAGAAGGCCACCTTCAAGAGTGGGAAGATAAGTGGCCCTTATCAATTAGCCTTTTTTACCCCCATTTCCTTCCACTCTAGTCTTTGGCTTCTGTGTGACAAGGGCGATCAGAGGACCATTTCACAGAGGCTAGTCCAAGAATCAAGCTAACAAAGGAGAGCAAAGATGAGACAGAGAGAGAGGTGTCAAAACTCAATGACATCTTTGATCTTGAAAGCCCTGAACTTTTAGCTTCTGAGCCAATAAAGGCTTCCCTTTTTTCTTAGGTGGATTTTTGTCACTTTCAACCAAAAGATTCCTGACTAAAGCAGCCTTCTCATACATCAAGGGTCTGTCTTATTCCACCTCTGCCTACTTCTTCAATCTCATCTAGGCCACTACCCCCAGCTCCACATACTCTAACTATTGGCAATGTCTTTAAGATCCTTGAACATTCTGTCTCTCCCATCCTCCATACTTCAAGGGCTTTTAGACATGTTGTTCCCTTGGCTCTTTTTATCCACCATTTCCCCTCAACCACCTTCTTCTTAACTTTGAATATTTGGCAGAAATGTCTGTTCCTCAAGGAAGCTATGCCTGACCAAGGACCAGGTAAGGTGCCCTGCTCCATGTTTCCAGAGGCTGGCCAATGAATAAACAAATCCGTCTAAGGGGGTGGCTGCCTCTCTTGCTGGATCATGATCCGGCACAGTGCCTGGCATATGGTGAGGGCTCAACAAATAAGGAAAAGGGCTCATACAAGACTGACATCTTTTAACACGTAGGGGGAAACTCTTCTCCAAAAGCTCAGCTAAAAGCAACTTATTTAACATATCCTCAGTTCCCGAAATTGAGGGAGAAAAACAGGACAAGTACCAGAAAAGGACTGGAGAGAAAGTGGGATAACTACAGGCTCCATAATGCACATGGACATGGGCATAAATCTACACCACAAGCTCCAGGGCACGTGCATGAGAAAAACATGTAATAATCTCTTAAGGATTAAGGAAGATTTGGAATCAAGGAAAGGAGTAGAGAATAAAAGCCTTAAGGAAAAGGGAAGGAAGGTGGGCAGTCACTCCACTTGGGGACAGGGTCAAAGGCAGGAAGAAGACCTACCTTCAACAATTCAGATCAACATTTGGGTATCTACTGTTTGCCAGGAATTGTATAGGTGTTGACGAAGCAGTGATCAAAAAGGCCCAGTCCTACCTATTAAGGAGATCACAGTTCGGTGGCAAAGACTTATTACACAATGTATTGGCTGCTCTAGTAGAGATATAAATGAGGTGCTATGAAACACAGAGGAGGGACAGGTTAATAATGGAGATGAAAATTGAGATTTGAAAGATGAGAAAGCCAATAAGACAAGGGTTTAAAGGCATTTCAAACTCCTAAAAGAGAGGGGCAGGGAGCTTTACATGTAGTTAGTACTTGGTATTTCCCTCTTTTGGTGGATGCTGGGTGTTCGAGGAAGGCTGTAAAAATCTTCTTTTATGAAAATCTCTCTCTGGAGTGGTTGCTTGTCTCTGGTTTGACCGACTAGAGGGTCACTTGCTTGCTTGAAGCCCTTGGTTGCTCCCAGATGCTCCCTTCAGGCCAGTCTGGGCAGCCTGTTCATCTTGGCTTCTACCTTCTCTTTTCAAAATCCCCAGCTTTTACCTCAAGCTTCATTCCAGCCTTGCAGGGAGTGAGTCCTCTGAGCACAACCACCCAGTGGCCAAGGACAGCTGGAACACCCTCCCACCCTCCTGCCTCCCACACACACTGCTTCCATGTCCACCAGCAAGAATGGCAGCCAGGGAGAGAGGACCGATCTGGAACGAGGCAGGGTGATGCGTGGACAGAGAAGGACCAGCCCTGAGGCAAAGGAGTGACCAGGCAAAGTTTTGTTGGGACACTCCCATTGCTTCTGATGGTAAGGAACATTTTCTCCTGAAAGGCATTACAATCAATGTTATTTCCCTTCGTTTAAGATATTTTAAATTAAAAAATTTTATTACCAGAGTAATACATATTTATGAAGAACAATTGGAAAACACAAATTAGCAAAACAAAGTAGGTACCAAATAGATTCATAATCCTACCTCCTAGAACAAAAATAACTGTTAGCTCTTTATATATACATATATCCAAATTTATATATATGTATCCAAACTTATGTGTACTTAGATATAACATACAAAAAGTATATAAATTCTAAGTGCACACAGCTAGATATTTTTTCACAACATGAAAACAGACATATAACTCCCAGTCAGATAAAAAAAAGTAGAACATTACCAATATCCAGAAGATCCCCATATGCTCCCTCCTAATCATTATTCCCTCCTTTTCAAAAGTAATATCTTGGGGTAGACAAAGACAATCTCTGTATGACCTCACTCATATGTGGAAGTTAAATATGTAGACAAAGAGAACAGATTAGTGGTTACCAGGGGAAAGGTGGGGTGGGGGGTGGGCACAAAGGGTGAAGGGGTGCACCTACAACATGACTGACAAACAACGTACAACTGAAATTTCACAATGTTGTAAACTATCATAATCTCAATAAAAAGTTTTAAAAAAGTAATATCTTGGAGAAGAGGGTAGAAATCGGGGGGGACTGCTTAATGGGTACTGCTTGAAGTTCTGGAACTAGATAGAGGTAAAAGTTGCACAACATTGTGAATTACTGAATGCCACTGAATTGTATACTTTATAATGGTTATAATGTATATAATGGTAAATTTTCTATGTGTCTTTTCCCACAATTAAAAAAAATGACTGAAAAAAAGTAACCACTATTCTGACTTCTAACATCATAGATCAACTTTGCCTGCTGAATTTGACATAAATGGAATCATAATCTTTTGCGTCTTTTTAAACACTGCATTAGTGAGAATTATGGCCATTGTTGAATGTAGTTGTAGTTCACTCATCTTCAGTGCTGTAGAGTGTTCCATTGTATGACTCTATCATCGTTTATCCATTCCACCACTGACAGATATTTGGGTTGTTCCCTATTTTGGACTATTAAAAATAATACTGTCATGAACATTCTCATTCATGCTCTTGGTGTATAAACATATGTATTTCTGTTGGATACATAACTAAATCGAGTACATTTTATTTTTTTAAAGCACACTGTAATATACCTTTGTAACCTTCCTTTTCCATTTACTATTTCTCAAACATCTCTCTATACCAGTAAGTATTCTTTGATAACTATTTTTAACAGCTGCATAGTATTCCATTGCAGATAAATTTTTGCACTTACCTTTAATAATTTCCAAGTGAAACTGCTGGCTCAAAGGTTTTGAAGTTTGTTTGTTTTTTTAAAGATTGGCACCTGAGCTAACAACTGTTGCCAATCTTTTTTTTTTTCAGCTGCTTTTTCTCCCCAAATCCCCCCAGTACATAGTTATGTATTTTAGTTGTGGGCCCTTCTAGTTGTGGCATGTGGGACGCCGCCTCAATGTGGCCTGACGAGCAGTGCCATGTCCATGCCCAGGATCTGAACCAGCGAAACCCTGGGCTGCCGAAGCGGAGCGTGGGAACTTAACCACTGGGCCATGGGGCCGGTCCCTGAAGTTTCTTGATTAATTATTTATTGCTAAATTGACCTCCAGGAGAATCTATATTCTCAAGGTTACTCTGGGGCCTCAGGCTAAAGCACCAACCGCCAAGATTTCTACAATCTTGCCTACACTGAGCCCTCTCCTCATCTTCTTCCTCTCTTCTACTAAGTCCCTCTTCCTTTGTCTCAGGCCTTTCTTCCCGACCTCTTCTACTTTAGGGCCTACTTTTTTCAGAATGTCCCCCTACTTCCATCTAAGTTACTTCTACTTTCACATTCTTTCTTGGAAGTTAATCCTGACCACTATCACCCTTCTTGACCACTGTTATTGCGTTTGTCACACTGTATTACAGTTGATGCTATCTGGCTCCAGTTCATCCATTACCATGTGCTCCTGAGGGCAGGAATAAGACATACAACAAAAACGATAAAATAAGGGGGCCCGGCCCTGTGGCCGACTGGTTAAGTTCACGCGCTCCGCTTCGGCAGCCCAGGGTTTCGCCAGTTCAGATCCTGGGTGCGGACATGGCACCGCTTATCAAGCCATGCTGAGGTCACAACCCACATGCCACAACTAGAGGGACCCACAACTAAGAATACACAACTATGTACCAGGGGGCTTTGGGGAGAAAAAGGAAAAATAAAATCTTAAAAAAGAAATGACAAAATGAGTGTCAGCTGTCATATAAGGACCCCCCTCCTCTGTGCCAGGATTTAGACCAGCCACTCTACACAGGGACTGTATCTTATTCGTCTCTGCACCCGCAGGGCCCACTACAGTTCCTGGCAGAGCATAAGTGCTCAGGACTATTTGTTGAGTCAGTCACAGAATGCTATGCTTCTGGGAGCAAGTCAAAGGAGAAGGCTGCCCACTCTGCCCCAACAGGGGCATCTGTTCACTCTGATAACACATGTCCTTTTGGAGAAAAAAAAAAAAAAAAAAATCCCTACAATCCATTTTCCATAGAACAGCCAGAAGGATCTTTTAAGATTTAAAATCAGATCATGCCACTCATGGCTTAAAAGCTTTCAATGGTTTCCCACTGAACTTTGAATAAAACCCAGATAACTTACTGTGGTCTCCATATATGGCCCCTGCTTTCTTCACTGGCTTCATCTCCTACCCCCCACCACCACCCTTTCATTAGACTCAAGCTATGCTGATCCTCTACCAAGCTCTTACTATGTGCCCTGTTCTAAGCACTTCTCATGTGTTATCTCACTTAATCCTCCCAACAATCTTATGAGGTAGGTACTATTATGATCTCCGTGTTACTGATGCAGAAACTGAAGGACAAACAGGCTAAGAACTTGCCCAAGGTCACACCATTAACAGCTGGCAGAGCTGGGGTTCCAAGTCCATGCTCTCAGCCAGTATATCATTAGTTTCCTCCTTCTCGACCATACCACCTTTGTTCTCACTCAGGGTCTTTGAGGTTCTTACTCCCTCTGCCTAGATGCTCTTCCCTAGTCCCTCCCAGGCCTGCCTTCTCCTCATCAGATCTCAGCTCAAACACTGCCTCCCTAGAAGACCTCCCCTGACTACTGGACTTTAACCCCCAGTCATTCTCTCCCACATGACCCTACCTTAATTTCTTGCATCTACTTACCAGTCTGGTACTCTTCTGGTTATTTTATTCATCTGTTTATTATATGACTCTTTGCACTATAATGTAAGTGCCATGGAGCAGGGATCCTGTCTCTGCTGTATATATTCATACCTAGACCAGAGTCTGACATGTGGCAAAGCCCCAAAAATGTGTATTGAATGGTCAGGGCCTCCTGACTTTGTAGTAGTAACAATCATCATAGCAGTAGTAGTGTTAACATTTGCTGAGCAGTATACTCTACACCCATCACTGTGTTAATCATTTTACATATCTCATTTCATCCAAACCAGCACAAACACCCACGCTGCAAGGCAGAGAGTATCATACCCACTTTACAGACAAGGAAACTGAGTTTCACGGAAATTAAATAACTTTTCCAAGGTCAGATAGCTAGCAAAGCAGAAGAGCTCAAAGCCAAGCTCAGTTCTGTCTGATTCTCCAGTCCATGCTCTTTCCACTCAGCTGTGCTGCCCCCTTTATGGTCCAAGTCAAAGGCCAGCTATAGCCGACTCTCCAGTTAACACCATGGCTCTGCCTCTCTCCTGAACTCAGAACCCACACCCACTGGATGTCTCCAGGAGAATGTCACACATCGCCTCCTCCCTCCACACACTCAATATGTTCATAACCCAACTCTCCACCTTTCCCACAAAACTCAGCTCTCCTTTAGGAAGTCTTATTCTCTTTAGTGCTACCACTATTAGTTACCCAGGCTTCCAGAGCTTCTCAAAATTCTAGTGATCTTTCAATCTTCCTTGATCTTAAAATAAAGCCCAAGCTCCTAAACATGGTTTTGAGTATCTGCCAAGATTTAACCCCTGCCTACCTTACCTGTATCGCTCTCTCTCCCTCATTCTAGAGACAGGCCTTCTTCCCATTCCTCCAAGTTGCCACGGTCCTACCTCAAAACCTTTGCACATGCCGCCCCTTCTGCCTGGGACAGTGTCTGGCCCTTCCTCCTCCTTAGGTAATTCTATTATTCTTCAGAATTTAGCATGTTACTTGTTCAGGGACGCCTTCCCTGATCCCCAGCCTTGTTCTGCTTTGAGGCACTCACCATAATTGCAATTGTGTGTCTGACTTTCTCCCAGGCTGAACACACAGAAAAGGTGAGGACTAGGTCTGTCCCGTTCAATGCTGCATCCCCCGTGCCTCACATGTAGTAGATGCTCAGTAACTATCTGTTGATCTTCTCCCACATCCAGTGAGTCAGCTGGCTTTGTAGACCCTGCCTTTATCATGTCTGTTTCCCCCAATAGAATGTAAGCTCCAGGAGGGCAGGGATTTCTGTTTTACTCACTCTTGCTTCTCCAGCACCCAAGTATTCATTAAATGAATATATCCATAACTTCCTTTCCATTTCTAATGCCCCTGCTCTCCACATTTCAGCAGAACACCAGATATGACGCCACACCAGGCTTCTACATACCAGAGGGCTCTCCCAGTCAGAAAGCTGAAATGCTGAACAGACTAGCAGAGAAAGAGACAGACAGACCTCATCCCAGTGACCACGATGTTTGAGTTTCTTCATTTGAGACTTGGAGTTTGTGCAACATTGTAGGACTCTCTCATCATGTTGTTTTCTTCTAATTAAAAACCTTTACAAAATATGGAGTTCAGGATCTTCCAAAGGACTGCATTTGTGGGTTTCTTGGGTAAGGGCTGGAGTCCAGTGACATGTGAAAACCTCTTGAGAAAGCACGGGAGGAAGGCAGAGCGAGGTAGAAGGGTGTGGGCTTAGGAGACATGCCCAGGAACTCTGCTTACCAGCTGTATATCCGGCAGTAGTCGCTCCTTTTCCCCACTTGTAAAACAGGGATAAAAATGCTTACCTTGCAATGTTGTTGGGGGGCTTAGAAATATTTGCAGGATACACTGGCTCAGAAAGTGTTCAAAAAATGGGAATTCTTACCACAGCCTTTTATGCTACCAACTTGCACATACAGATACAAAGGTGCCGTGTAGCTAACTGTTTCGTCTCCCCAAAGGAGCTAAATGGCCCCAGGAGGACCAGGAACACATCTCAATCATCTTTAAATATCCAGAGAACAACTTAGCCAAAGGCGTTTATCAACCATCACTGACTACATTAATGAGCAGCCCAGTACGGAGCACCGAGCTGCACACTCAGCTTCCAACAAACGTTAACTCATTTCAGTCCAAGTGGGACAAGAAGATGGCAGTCAGGCCAGTTGCTCCAGCAGCGAGCTGGCCAGGCGGAATTCAGAAGGCCCTACCACAGGCTAACACCTGCCCTTGGCAGAAGAACGCCAGCTCCTGGTGTCTGGAACCTCAGCCAGCTTTGTCCTTTGTGATAGCGCCACCTAGCGAGGGCCCGGAGGCACTACCGTCTACTCCGGGCAATGCCAGGACCACTGCGACAAGGTGTTAGCCGCTCAGGCTTGGGACGCGGAATGTGGTCCGCCCGAACTCGTGTCCTGCCATCTGAGTGCCAGGTTAATGGTTTAGACTAGAGATGCGCTCCTTCCGCGACCCCGCGGGGAAGCCCATGCCGTCCCTCCCCCAACCTCGTCCAGAACTGTGGGGCGAGTCAGCTTTCCACTACGATTCATACACAATTGACCAGCCATCTATCCCAGGACACTTCACGGTCTCCTCCAATCGAATCCTCGCGAGTAGGCAAAGCAGGCATTACCCTCATCAGAGTCACTGTACAGATGAGGAAACTGAGGCTCAGGGGGAAGGGGTTAACCCAAGGTCACATAGCCGAAGCGGCAGGGCTGGGACGAGAATCCAAGCCTCTCGGAACGGGGTCGGTGGCTCCTTCCCCCACCACAGGCCCCTCATTCATGTGCAAACAGAGCATGCCACTCCCACGGGGCGGGGGGAGGCTCGGGAGCCCTGCGCCAAGAAGCAGCGTGGGGCGCAGGATAAACACGGCCCAGCGGCGACGGCGGGCGCCCTCCTCCTTCTCGGCCCACCGAGGGCCGGCACGCTCGCCGCGGCTCGGGGGCGCAGAACAGGGGCCCAGGGAAGGAAGCAGGGTCCCGCGCGAGGAGGCCCTGGGAGCACGCGGCGCCGGGTCACGTGAGAGGGGAGCGCCGGCGAGGGTCGCCGCACGCACGCACGCACGCACGATGTACGTAAACACGCACTGAGGCGTTGAAAGCCGCTAGCCCGAAGCCCCGGGTCACATGTCGAGGGTGGCAGTCGAGAACGAGGGGGCGGGAAAGAGGGAGAGGTCACGTGAAGGAGGCCAGCGCGGGGAGGTCACGTGAGGGGGGACGGAGGCGTGGCCGCCGGGGAGGAGGAGGAGGAGGGGCGCGCGGCTTCCGGCGGCTGGGGGGGCCGGCGAGCGGAGGGGGGGGGCCCTGTCCCGGAGGTGGCGGCGGCGCCATCTTGGCGAAGGGGGGATCAGGAAGTGCGGACCGCGGCGGCGGCGGCGGCGGCGGCGGCGGAGCCCGGAGCGGAGGCCGGAGGCTCCCGGCCCGCCGGCCCCGGAGCGGAGCGGAGCGGAGGATGCAGCAGCCGCAGCCGCAGGGGCAGCAGCAGCCGGGGCCGGGGCAGCAGCTGGGGGGCCAGGGGGCGGCGCCGGGGGCCGGGGGCGGCCCAGGGGGGGGCCCGGGGCCGGGGCCCTGCCTGAGGCGGGAGCTGAAGCTGCTCGAGTCCATCTTCCACCGCGGCCACGAGCGCTTCCGCATTGCCAGCGCCTGCCTGGACGAGCTGAGCTGCGAGTTCCTGCTGGCTGGGGCTGGAGGGGCCGGGGCGGGGGCCGCGCCCGGACCGCATCTCCCCCCACGGGGGTCGGTGCCTGGGGATCCCGTCCGCATCCACTGCAACATCACGGTGAGGACCCCCTCGCTTGCGCCTCTCCGGGGGCCCCTTGTCAGGGACTCAGGATCGCCCTGTACAGTTTTTTGCTCTCAAAGGACCAAGGAGGCCGAATCCCCTCTCTGGGTTCGGCACCTTCTCTTCAGGTTACACTTGTTTCTGCCGCTTGAGGTTCTGCCGTGCACCCAGAATCTCTACCATTGACCCTTCGTAATGAGGGACACCCCGACATATGGCGCCTCGACTGCCCCTTTCCACTAACCCACCCACACCCCAAGGTTTATGATTTTGGGTCCTTTTGGTTACTTCACGACTTTACGTTGTCACCTAGCAATGCCCCTTCCTTCCCTTAACTCTCATCTCAAGGTTCCAGGCCTCTGCACTGACCTCAGCTGGAAGGACCTCGCTTGGAACTCGGCACGTTTCATCGATGCCCCTTTCTCAGTAGTACCTTTGACTTAGGACGTTACCACCTGTGGGATCCCTGCCCAGGCGTCTCTCATGCAGCCCCTCTTTGCTTTCTGAGTTTTACGAAGTGATAGTTTGCAGCTCACTGACTCCTCTTGTTTCGATTCCCTTTTATTCTGGTGTAACCTCTAACTCTCCTCCTTTTGCCCCAGCTGGTAGCAGATCTGCCACTCCCCTCCTGTTCCCTGTGGATGTTTCCAGTTGCCCTGGTTGTTGCCTTTCCTGGTAATGATGGTGCTGTCTAGGGCTGTCCGTTTTATTCTGAGTAGGAGCAGTTCCTTTTCTCCCCAGTGAACGTCTTTCCATCCTAGGCGTGCTGGACTAGGAGACACCTCACATGTCTCCTGTCTAGTCTACCCTCAAACGTCCCTTGAAGAGGGCTCGCCTCTGATACTCTGGGAATGTCTGCTACTGCATGGTGTGGCACTTACATTGGTTCATACTACCCGCTGTGACAGTGTTCTCCCTGCTAGGAGCATTGGTTAAGGAGCCAGGGGACAGTACTTTATCCAGGCAGGCAGACTGCAAATGTCAGTAGTTTGGGGAAGGACAGATTTGTGAATTGTCTGGCACTTAGGGGCCTGAATTCAATTTACATGATTCTTGTTTCCTATCCCTTTCCTTCATCAAACCAGGTCGAGGTTTGGAGAGGCAAGCCTCAGCTTGGGTTGGATGGTGCCCCACCAAAACTCGTGTGTCCCATTTCTTCTGTCTGCTCCCATTTCCCTCCCCCACTTTTTTCCCTGCTAAAAAGTTGAGATTATTGAAGGACTAGGTGTGGCTTAGTCAGGTGAAGACTCCAGTATCTTTGATAGTTTGTTTTCCTCCAGCATTGATGATTAGAGCCATGGCAGAGCTAAGACCCCCGTAGAAGTGGCATGCGTGGAAACCTCCAGAGTTAATTTTCTTCCTGAATTAAGCTTCCAATTCCTTAAGGGTAGGTTTGCCCCCTTCTAGCTGCCCTTGCAGTTGCCAGAGGCCGTCTACTGTCTTTGTCTCTGGAAGGAAGTTAGTTTAGAAGGTTCTCAGTGAGACTCCCTGTGGCCCCTATAGAGGAGACTTGGCCTGACTGGCCCCCTTGGTTTGGGCAGAGGGGGAGTCTGGTCAGGCTGCATTTGGCACTGTGGCTCAGGAATGCTGGGAATGTTAGCAGCGTAGGCTTCTTTCTCCCAGCCTGCCATGTGGAGCCCTACAGCCTACGCCTGGACCAAGAAGGTGGCAGGTTCCCAAGGGAGAAGTGGGGAGAGTTGGCCTTTGAGGGGTTCTCTTGGGAGTGAGGTGGGGAGAGTCTTCCTGCTACCGTTTTACTATTGGGTTCTGGAGATATGATCTAGTCTTTATTCCTCCTTCCCTAGCTAAAATGAAAGTGAGCTGCAGCCTCTGCTTTTTTTCACATCAGTGTGATTGTGATGAGGCGATCCCTTCCTCAGCTGATTATGGAGTTTGAAAAGCAGGAGGGTTGGAGGACGCTGTGCTGGGTGTGGAAGAATTTCAAGTCTGGAACTTGTATAGGCAGCACAGTAGATAGGAGGCCTCCCTCACTGTTAGCAGTTTGGCTGTGCTGCTTTCTCTGATGTTTACTCTTGAGGAAAGAAAGAAAAGGGTCCAGGTCCTTCCAGGGACCTTTTCTGCTGGTCTAGGATTTGTTGGCAAGCTGCTTGGTTAGAGACTGACCTGCTGAGCTGGGCTTTTATGTGTGTGTAATGGGGGTGAGGGACGAGCAGAGGGACTAGAAGTCTTGGGAAGCTGAGGGCAGGCAAAATCTAGCTTTTCCCAGAGTCCTCCATCTTGACCACTCTCCCTGCTCTTTTCCCCTCAGGAGTCATACCCTGCTGTGCCCCCCATCTGGTCGGTGGAGTCCGATGACCCTAACTTGGCTGCTGTCTTGGAGAGGCTGGTGGACATAAAGAAGGGGAATACTCTGGTGAGGGGGCCAGGTTGTTGGGGTGGGGGTGCATTTTCTTCCTATGAGGCCCATGTCCTGGAGACATCCTGTGAAAGGGAGATGTATCTGGAAAGTGGATGGTGCAGTGGGCTCAACATTTGGGGCCAGACTTCTTAGAGGAATTGCTTACTGAAGCCAGAGGGAGAGCCCTGCACCAGCCCCAGGATTGGTCCAGTAAACTCCTTCCCACAGCCACATGGTCCGTCAGGTTTAGGGAACTAGGTGCCAACATGGGATCTAAGCTAAGAGTTCATCCATGCACCAGTCCAGATTGGGGTGGGGAAGGAGTATTTGATGTCACTGTGGTCTCCTACCCCCAGCTATTGCAGCATCTGAAGAGGATCATCTCCGACCTGTGTAAACTCTATAACCTCCCTCAGCATCCAGATGTGGAGATGCTGGATCAGCCCTTGCCAGCAGAGCAGGTGAGCAGTGGAGGGGCTTGGGGCCCTGTTGTGCAGCCTTGCCTCACACACAGCACTCAATAAACACATGTTAATTGAGATGAATCTGTAGTAGTTTCTCTTCACCTCTACGCACTCCAAACACACAGACATTTCGTGACTCCTGGTCTCTTTCTTCTCCTGATGGGAATCTAGCTAAATGGGGCACTAGTAGCTTCACCTCTCTCTCAAAGCTCACTTTCATGGGCAGCATCCTTCATGACAAGAGGAAGGGGGGAATTTTTACCACTAGCAGTAGTAGTTGGTGGCCACTGGGGACCCAGGCCCCTGGTCAAGAACTGAGAACACAATGTCAGTCTAGAGACAATTGAGTAAAGGAGGGGTTCTTGGGAAAATTAAACTGGGATTTGTGAGGTAGGTGACAGAAACAGCCATTTTGCTTCTGTTTGATTCTTTGGCATATGGTAGGAGGATAATAGGCTGGTAGTGAAGTCATTCCCTGGGCTGTTGCTTCTACTCAGATCTGGCCGGTAGAGAGGCTGGCAGCAGTATGGGCAGGCGCACAGTTTTCCAAACCTGGAGCCCAGGGGACTAGGTCAGAGGCTGCCTTCTAGGAAGCCACCGGGGCTCTGATCTCCATCTTTCCCCTCCCCACCACAGTGCACACAGGAAGACGTGTCTTCAGAAGACGAAGATGAGGAGATGCCTGAGGTAGGCTTGCTGCCTAAGGCGGCACTGGCGGGAAGCTCGCTCAGTCTCAGCATTGAGCACCCACTGTATACAGAGCTCCAGAATAGAACTGGGGAGAGGAAAATCCCAGAGGAATAAGGACGGGTTTAGTGACCTGAAGGAGCAGTCAGTGTAGTAGAGGAGGCAGGGCACCCACATTCAACCACTGAAGACAGTGAAGTGCAAGTCTATGTAAATCAAGCAGCCAGTTTATTTCAGATGGCTTTGGAGTCAGACCTGAGTTCACATCCTGTATCTCCTAGCTGTCTTAATTGGAGAATTTTGCCTAATCTCATTAAGCTGTTGTCCCCTTATTTATAAAATAGGATTATAACATCAACTTCATTTGGTTGTCTTGAAGATTAAATGAGGCATTGCATGTAAAATGCTCCATACAGTACATGATAAGTGCTAAATGATCTGATATGTTCTCTAAAAACTTGGATACTTTTCTGGAATGTAACATAATGGTTAAGAATTTGACCTTCAGAGCCAGACCGAATTTGATTCACGTCTGAGCTCTACTAAAGAGTTGTATGACTTGGGGCGTGATAGTTAACCTCAGGAGACCTCAGCTTCCTCATCTGTAAATGAGGGTAATGGTACAATAATGGCATGGTGGCCGTAAGAATTAAATGAGCTACAGTGAATAGCATCTAGTACAGTACCTGAGATATAATAAACATTCAGTAGATGTCAGCAGCTAATGTAATAATTAGAAGGTTAGTATTAACTGTGTCTTGCCAGAGCGAGGAGATCACACTGATGGCTTTGTTTCCTAGCATTGGATTAGCGACCCGGGTTCTGAAACTTCTGTGACTTTGTTAGAGTCTTAAGATGCAGAAAGGGCTGGTGATATATGAAACGTACCTCCTCTCAGACAGTGGACAGCCTTCTGCGCCACCCCTCCAGCATCTGAGGGGGCGGAATCCTGGATGTGGGCTCCCCCTCCCCCATGCACAGTGAGCTGCTTGCTCACTTAGAGCAGGGTGAATAGGGGCTAATTCTGTACCTGACCTCCCTCATTTGCATCCTGGCAGTGGGTGCCTCTGCACACCTGACTTGGGCCCTGCACTTGTAGGGAGGGCACATTTCTGATCCAGGTTTCTCCTTTAGACTTGGAGTGCCAAGAAATCCTGGGTACGACAATCATCTGGTGAAACCTTAGCTTTGAGTCACAACATCAAGCCAGAGTTTCTATAAATTAAGGAAGAGTTTCTGCTGCCAAGGGAGAGTTTAGGGATGGTTGGAGCAGGGTCAGTCTGGGGAACAAGAGGGCTGAGCCCCTGCTTGCTTTCCCTGGGTCCTCATATAGTTCTGCTGCTTGAGAACTGCCTAGGAGGAGAGATTGACCTTGTTATTTGGATTGTGGTGGGAATGGGACTGGGAATTGTTCCAGAAAAGGAAAGGGTATCGTGTTCATTAGCCTGCTAGCTAGACCACCGTGTGTTAACTTGCAGCTCTAGGCCAAACGGGACTGAAGGGGATGGCTGCCTCCACAACCTGTGTTGGTTTCTTTCTTCCTCTACCCCACTCCCATCCAAACCTCCTCCAGGACACAGAAGACCTAGATCACTATGAAATGAAAGAGGAAGAGCCAGCTGAGGGCAAGAAATCTGAAGATGATGGCATCGGAAAAGAAAACTTGGCCATACTAGAGAAAATTAAAAAGAACCAGAGGCAAGATTACTTAAATGTACGTGCCTTCTAGGGAGAAGCTGAGCCAAGGGGTTGGTGGGCACTGGCTGGGAGGTGGTAGGCCATGGTGTATCAGTCTGGGGAGTAAACTCCTTTTTTTTTGGTGGCTTATGGATGTGCCTAATCCTTGCCAAAATCCTGGGCAGGCTGCCACACTGCCCCTAAGGTCTAGTGTGCGTATTTCCAAACCCCATGACTGTGGGATGTTTCTGTCTTCCCTCCCTTGCAGGGTGCAGTGTCTGGCTCGGTGCAGGCCACTGACCGGCTGATGAAGGAGCTCAGGGATATATACCGATCACAGAGTTTCAAAGGCGGTGAGTTTGCCTCAGAGGGGCCTGAACTGGAGCTTCTCATAAAGAAATGTATGATAGTGGTAATGGGCCCTGAGAGGTTTGGGATATACAAATGCTTGTGAACTTTCCAGGCCAAGAATGGAACTCCTCAAGCCCATGGTTTAGATTGGATGCATGTCCATCTGGGGTGAACCTCTTAGAACCTTCGATCTTTTTTCTCTCAGCCTGGGAAAGGGATCTGTATGAGGGACCACTTACCACCTGGACTGTCCTAATAACACCTATCTTCCTCCTCCCTTTCAGGAAACTATGCAGTCGAACTCGTGAATGACAGTCTGTATGATTGGAATGTCAAACTCCTCAAGTGAGTGGGGACTCTGGGATTGGAAAGGAAGTTTAGTGTGAGTGGTGGGAGTCTCCAGGGCAGTGCTGTGAGCTTGTTAGTTTCAGGGTCCCAGGAGCGAGTGTGGGCACTGTTTTGTCCCTCTGCTGCTAGCCTAGGGGTGTGGGAGCTGTCATGAGGCTCCTGAGCTGGGACCAGGAGTGTGAGCCCAGACTTGTTGCTTCATAGAGTTGACCAGGACAGCGCTTTGCACAACGATCTCCAGATCCTCAAAGAGAAAGAAGGAGCCGACTTCATCCTACTTAACTTTTCCTTTAAAGTAAGACTGTTTCCTTTTCTAGTTCCTCCCGCCTTGGCCTAGGTGTCCTTCCCTGCCCCGCAGTCCTGTGGAGGACACTGGCCTCCCCTCCCTGATTGTGGCCTCTGTCTCTCTCTCTCAGGATAACTTTCCCTTTGACCCACCGTTTGTCAGGGTTGTCTCTCCAGTCCTCTCCGGAGGGTGAGTGGCTCCAAAAGGGCAGAGGGCGGCTCCTGTTGCAGAGGGGAAGGCAGGGGTGTGGAGCTTTTGCCAGGCACAACTGACTGACCTTTCTTCTGCAGGTATGTTCTGGGCGGAGGTGCCATCTGCATGGAACTTCTCACCAAACAGGTGAGTGTGTGTCTCGCTCTTGGCTAGGCTGCTGTGGGCAGGGCTGGGCTGAGCTTTACTCCCCCACACCACCCCCCCCCCCCCCCCCACGGGTTGGGTGATAGGCACAGTGTGGCCCTTTCATCCTGCCGGGCAGGGCCTCACCCACTGACCCAGGCAGGCAGGTGATGGCTGTTCCGGAGTGAAGGGCAAGGGCCCTTCTGTATATGTAGCTGCTTGCCGGAGAACAAGTGCAAGGTTTCTCTGAAAACTCTTCTGACTGGTTTGCTTTGTCCCTCCCTGTTGCCCAGGGCTGGAGCAGTGCCTACTCAATAGAGTCCGTGATCATGCAGATCAGTGCCACACTGGTGAAGGGAAAAGCACGAGTGCAGTTCGGAGCCAACAAAGTAAGGAGCCCGGCCTGGGACTGTGGGACAGCGCCACATACAGTCTGGGCCCCTAGCAGGCCAGGTGCCTTCTTTCAGGGACCGAGAGGATGAGGCCTCTGGGCTGGCAGCATCAGATGAGCAGGCCTGGGATATCCACAGTGGGAGTAGGATAAGGGCTTTGGTCTGAGAGGCATCCTAAGTCTTCTGGGAGGGTATGGGTCTGGAAAGGGAAGGCTATGGCGTTGCACCCCAAAGGGACCTTCCAGATGGAGGGTACTGTGTCAACAGAGCAAACTACTGGGAGCCAGGACTCTGGGTCTCTGGGTGGTGGCAGCCTATGGAAGGTGAGGGACAGTAAGGGCACAGCTGGCTGTGACCTGATTTGGTGGTTTCCTCTCCCCAGTCTCAGTACAGTCTGACAAGAGCACAGCAGTCCTACAAGTCCTTGGTGCAGATCCACGAAAAAAACGGTGAGGCTGGAGCCAGGACTCGAGATTCGGACACTTGCCAGGCCTGAGGCTTTCACTTGCAGCCAAATAGCAAGAACCCTTTCTTTTGGTTTCTGAGCCTTTACCACCCATTAACACAGCACCTGCACCTGTTCTCCAAAGAAGGGCTGGAGGTGGCTAACGGCCTCCTCTTCTCCCAGAACAGCACCAACCATCATGCCACCTGTAGGGTTGGCGCTGCTCCCCTTGCCGACTGCCCTTTGAGAAAACTCATCTCACTCTTCTGTCATCTCAGGTTGGGCACCTCATTCTCCCTTTCCTTATGATCTCCAGGTTGGCAGTTTCTCAGCTTCCCATACACTGTCTCTCCCCGCTTGCTGGGAATCCCTTCCTAGGATCTTTTCGCCTGTAACCCTGAAGATGTCTTCTGTCATTGCTGTTGTGAGGGTGGGCTTCAGCCTCCATCTCACTGACTGTTTTGTTTGGTGTTTTTGCAGGCTGGTACACACCCCCAAAGGAAGATGGCTAACCCTGGAGTGTCCTTCCCCTCCTCCTTCCCCAGGCACCACTGGACCAATTACCTTTGAATGCTGTATTTGGATCTCACGCTGCCTCTGTGGTTCCCTCCCTCATTTTTCCTGGACGTGATAGCTCTGCCTATTGCAGGACAATGATGGCTATTCTAAACGCTAAGGAAAAAAAACACACACAGAACTGTTTCAAGTACTCAAGACTGACTTACAGACCAACCAACCACCTGGCTGGAACCCTTGCTAGCAGGCATTCTTATAAAAGAAACTTTCAAGCCTCCTTATATTGCTGGAAACTCAGCTGTGCTCCAGACTAGAGCCTCCTTACCTATGCTATGGATTTTTAATTTATTTTCTCTTATTTCATGTACACTGCTTTTTTTGGTTACAGTGTATGATGGATGTGTATGAAAAAAATGTATCTTTGGGAAAACAATTACAGTTTGTTAATTTGAAGATGTGCTGGTCTTGACTCATATTTATTTTTATTCCCACATCCCACCCCACCCCCATCCCCTGAAGTACTTGGGTGGTGGGGAGGGGTACCAGGTCCACTGTGGCTGTGGTGAAGATGATGAGAGGCTGTACTTTGCTACTGAAGCCAGAGAAAGGTGGAGCTGAAGCACACGCCTGGCTCAGCCCCAGAGTTCTCCTGAAGGCCTCTGGAACGACCAGCACTTGTTTCCCTTGGAGTGCAGAGCCCAGCCTGCTAAACCACAATGCAGCAGGCTGAAATGATGACCTTAATTCTTAGGGCTACTGTTCTTCTCTAGTCACAGGTGTTTTCAAAGTTTTAAGGGAAAAAATGAGGAAGGAGGCCTAAGAGGCTGCTTCACAGAACTGTTTTTAAATGAACTGGGGACGGAGGCACAGTCTCAGTGTGTCTGTGGCCTTCCTGGTCTCAGCAACACAATCTTGCTACAACCTGGCATTCACTGGTTCCCTACCCCCTGGACACTGGCTCCTAACGAGCACTGAAAGGTGTTCCTTGGTAGCTCCTCTGGTCATCCTGTCTCTTACTTCATTTGGTCTTGTAAGAGGAGATGGGCATAGCTCTGAAGTAAGTGGCTTGGTTTGGAGAATTATGGATTCTCTCAAGCCACTCCCATAGGGTGGGTCCTTACTGTTTTAATGTGTGGGGGGGGGGGGGGGGGGGTTCTGTACACCTGTGTCCTCAACTCAGGCTCTGGAACTGCTGGGAAGGGGAGAGTGAGGTGGGAAGTCTGCTGAGCTAGAACTGTCAGGGCTGTGGTGTCTGTACACGCTATTTGAAGGTGTGGGCATGATGTCTGCATGTGACACGCACTACCTACCTGTCTGGGTCACTAAGCTTGCTCTCAGGCTGAGACAGTCTCTTAGGACAGATTGTGCCCACAGGCTGGACAGTGACTGAAATGACAGACTAGGGACGGCCGAGAAAGTCTTAGAAAGCCCAGACTCCAGACAGCTGCCTAGGAACCTGTGGGACGCGAGAGCTCTGCAATGCTGTTTGAGACACAGCAATTTTAACAGTGGTCATTTAACCCCCTTTTCTTTGAAGGGATTTTAATGTCTTGCTGCTTCAGGTGGATGAGTTCACTGGTCCCACTCAATGCTGCTCTAACTCTACCCACGCCCACCTGAGATGGGGTGCTAATATATGTTGAGATTGAGATAAAGAGGGGACCCAAGGGGAAAACTCATTCCATAGAGCTGACACCTGGTTTTCAAGGCCTCTGTGGCTTTCCTCAGAACTTATCACCAGCCCTGGCTGGAATGTAGATTGTGTTTTTAGTAATGTGTACTGTGAGCTGTCCTCTGTATAATGTATTTTGTAATGTATTTTTCTCATCTACCAAAGGATGAAACAAATAAAATTATTTAAATAGTTTGGCTCTAATAAAATTATTTAAAGAAATAATTGGGTCCATGTTCACCTGACATAAAGGAAAACGCCAGCTCCTGAGTTGTATACCAACACTAAGAGAATCTTCCACTGTTCCCGTCAAACCTAACACTCCCTTTCATGACCTTAAGTTTAAGGTTCTAATGAAATTACAAAGCATAAAAAAGAATCAAGACCCTATCATCCTGAACCAATTTTCTGCTCTCCACTAAGGCAGGCAGAAATGAAACAAACTTTTAGGTTGTTACCGGATCCCTCGCGTGTGCATCTATATCCCCGGGCAGGGGCAGCCCCAGAGTCCAAGAATGGAGCTGAGGGAACGCGTGAGGCACATGGCTGCTTCTCAATCTCACCGCGGCATTTTAGGAGGCAGGGCTGGGAGGGGTGGCCAGACAGGAATGGATCACCCCAAACTTGTGAAACATGCCAACGTTTATTCATCAAGTTGACGGCTCACTGGCTAGTGCTCCCCACCTGATCCTACAATGGAACGCCAGAAAAATTAAGCAGAATCTTAGGGCAACTGATATGGCACTATATGGTGCAAAGAAGAGACACAGAAAGGAATACATGGGTTCCCTCAGGCTTTCAACCTCATAGAAGCTTCCTATGTTTGGTTCAAATGTTCATGCTGAGTTGGGGAACCAAAAATACGAGAAATTGGGACTTCACTCTCTCTTTTTTGAGAGGTGAGCTGGGGGCAAATGGGAATCAAATCAATGCTGGGCACCAGTGTGGCCTATTCACCCCCAAGGCCTCGAGAACGAAAGGGGTACAAGAGGGCAGCGCCGGCAGAATCTGGACCAGGGAGGGAACACACTGATTGTAGCCACGTTATTTAAACTCTTCAAACTTCAGGATGTGCGACTGGAAGAGAAACACAAAGTCTCAGCGGGAAGGAAGGACCGTCCCTAGCCAGTCCACCAACCCCTTGGATAACTTCAGTTTGTTTCGTCAAAGGGAACACAGGCCAGGAAAACATGCAGGATCGAGGCTGCAGCTGAGAGCCCCGAGGGGGGAGGGGAGGGGAAGAGCTTGATACGGGGCAGTTACCTCCAAGTTCAAAGCACCAGTGATCTTCCCTTTGAGGATGCGATGGATAACCTGATACGAACTCAAAATGTCTACAAAACAAAACACAACAACAAAACCTTGGTGGCACTTGATCAGGCAGGAGGAGCAAGGGAGGGAAGCAAGAGGCCGCGGTGGGGAAGCGCTCTGGCTGCAGACCAGCTCCTCCGGACAAGTCTCTGCTAGTCAGTGTGAACTCCCTGCTGCCAGGATAAAATGAGGTGGTAAATGCTGGAAAGGTGGGGGAGGGCAAAGTAAGAGCACATAAAAGGAGGCATTATTATTGTTGTTAAAATAATTACAGGGATCTGGGCTGTTACATTCTCTAATGGGAAATTCTGGGGACAGAAAATTGTGTTCACTCAACTCTGCTCTGAGAGTTTGGGCTGGAGAGAGAGATGGAGGTTAAAGAGCAGAGAGGCCTTCACCACAAGGAGTGAGCACTCTCACGGTGGCAACAGGCAGGGCAGCACACTGGTCAGAAACCCACCTTTCTCCCCTACTCAGATCCTGCCATCCCCCCAAACTCTGGGACTCTATGCATGAAACTGGCTCCTATCAAGAGTCAGACCTCAGTTCCCAGCTTTGCTATTTTCTTGTTATGAAACATAAAGAAGGTCCTTTCACTTTTCTGAGCCTTACTTTTCTCCTCCATAAAAGGAGGAAAATTGTACCCCTGCCTGCCTGACCTCTCAGGGCCGTCTCCAAGTCCACACGAGAGTGAGCACCCCCGGATCTGGCCCCTCTGACAGGCTGGGAGCTGCTCTTTGGGGCGAGGGCCCCTCTGCTCTGGGCCACCCTCCAACACCCAAGCAGTCAGGCTCAGCCGACCTGGAGCTCCGAGCTCTGGCTGTCAGCTTGTTACTCCCCAGGCTGGGCAGCAGGGGCCCTCTTCATGCAATGACCCAAGACAACCTCTGGGGGGTGCCCCCTCCCAGGGAGCCTTGGCTCTGCGCTGTGTGGAGGTGCTTTTCCATCTTACTGGTTGTGTGTGTGTGTGTGTGTGTGTGTGTGTGTGTGTGTGTGTGAGAGAAAGAGAGAGAGAGAGAGTGTGTGTGTCCGTGTTTCTTCACCTCCACCTCTCCTCCTCATCCCCCAAAGCATTCTGTCATCCTCACATTTCACCCAACCCCAATCTTCAGAAGGGGCAGAGCAAGCACGAGGCCTCTCCATCTCAAGGACGTAGGAACTGAGGCCCCGACGGGTGTCTGGATCTAAAGTAACGGCCCATCAGGAGAAGACCCCGAGTCCAGTGCTTATCCCTGTCACTAGCTTTCAAATTTTAGTTTTCTTCCAGAACAGAATCCTTTTGCAATGAAATCTTAAGCAAAATTCAATGCACATAAAACAGATGAGAGCTGACCAGCGCTGGCAGAAGTGTGGTGAGAAGCCCGCCCTCCCTGCCCCACCGGAGAACTTGGCCTTCGGGCAGTACCTGAGGTCTCTCTCGGGATCTTGGGGCTCAGAGAACCCAGGTATGAAAACCAGCACTCAAGAGGCAGCTTTGCAAGGGGCAGATGCCAAAAACTGGGGTGAGATCAAAAGACGAGAGGCTGAAAGGCACCCCGAGGGCCTCTGGCCCCTTGCGCCATTCGCCGCTGAGATCTGGGGGCAGGCACAGCATCTCCCACCCCTGACGTCCTCAGGAAGAGCGGGGAGAGGAGGATGGTTTACCTTTCTCCAGCATGAATGGCTGAGTCAGAGGGGGGATGGTCCAGAAGTCGTCGCTATCCAGGCTGCGCAGGGACTGCACCGGGATGGTGGCCGACCGGCCAAAATCGATGAACATGACCACAGCCCAGGCGTCCACCCGGTCCAGCACCCAGCACCTGGCCAGAGGGAGAGGAGGGCTGTTCCACCTGCTGCCGTGCACAGAGCTCCTCAACAAGGAGGGCTTGAAGGTCCAGACGGAGGAGCAGTGAGTTTCTGTGCTTTTCCCTTCCTTGGACAGGGAAGCCGTAACAAGCAGACAAGATCTTGAGAGGAAGCAGCAGGAAAGAAGCCAGAGTCCAAAGGAGGGAGAAAAGAGGGAGGGGAGGCACTGCTCGGCCCGCGGCCCCTCCTGCACCCTCCAGCCCCCCGGGCACACACCTGTTCCAGGCCCGCCCGTAATCACCCAGGTGGTACTCCGCCAGACAGCGGGTCCCGCGCTGCACGGCCGAGTCCTGCAGGTAGGGCTGCCGCTCCTCCGCCTGGGCCAGGGTGCTGAACAGCGCCTGCATGTTCCGGTGCAGAGTCTGCAGATGGGCCAAACGCAACGGGCCTCACTGCCTGCTTCGCATCACACATCTGTCTCTGCGGATGTCACCTGTTACTCCAGTGTCGCTAATTGGCCCCAAGGGAACCAAACATATGAGGTGGGAGGGAGGAGGACACTGAAGCCAGGGATCGGACTGCGGTCACCCTGATCTGCACCACTGACTGGCCCCCACACCACACTCACCCCAAGAAGGCTCCGCGGGAAGGTGCCGAAGCCCAAGAGGGCCACCAACAAGCCCGTACCTCAGTGACATGCATGGCCCAGAAGAATGGGGTCTGCGGGACGATGCTGGTCACCAGCAGCCCCACCTCCCCGCCGATGTTGTGGATGGTGGCCAGCCAGCACAGGTCTCGGAAGCACTCCCTCAGGAGCAGCACCAGGAAGGACCCTCTGCAGGAGGAGCAGGGAACAAAGGGAAGAGGGAGAAGGAAGGAGCGATTCCACTGGCACCGTCCTGGAGGATGCTGGGCAGGCCACAGGCAGGAGGATCACCCTGAGCTGGAGAGCCGCGCTCACCCCTCCGGGGTAGGGGACGAGTACTCAAGGCATCCTAATGCAGAGCAGAGGAAGCACCGTGCCAGGGGGCCCAGGGGCTTGGGAGTCTGGGAAGGGGGAGCAGTGAGGGAAGCAAAACACACCGGGGAATGCCATAGAGTGAGACAGGCAAAAGCCCTCGCTGGGCTGACCCTGAGCCTGCCAAAGTGACTCATGAACCTCTAAATGATGCGAGTGTGGGCCGGCCACGACCCAGGACATGTTTTCAACCCCAGATTCACTCCTCCCCGTATTTCAGCACATGCCCAATGCACAAACTTTATCACCTGCCTAAGTCACACGTGGTCAGCAAGGCAACACTGCTGCTTTAAAAAAACAAAACCAGGGGGCCAGCCCGGTGGCACAGTGGTTAAGTTCACACGCTCCACTTCAGCAGCCCAGGTTCACGGGCCAGGACCCAGGGCACAGACCTACACACTACCCATCAAGTCATGCTGTGGCAGCATCCCACATACAAAATAGAGGCAGACTGGCACAGATGTTAGCTCAGGGCCAATCTTCCTCACCAAAAAATATAAAATAAAATAAAATAACCACTCTCCTATAGCATTTCAAGTCAGATTATTCTGGCATCCCTGTCATTAAGAATGGTGTCCACTTCTACCAGGGAAAAGGTGGGGTGGGGGGTGGGCACAAAGGGTGAAGTGGTGCACCTACAACACGACTGACAAACATCAATGTACAACTGAAATTTCACAAGATTGTAACCTATCATTAACTCAACAACAACAACAACAAAAAGAATGGTGTCCACTTGTTAAAGCAGAAGATGTTGTGGACCTGCTGATATGGCATCCAGGGTGAGGGAGAGTCACAGGCCTTCACTGTACATAAGTGGAAACAGATGTTTTAAGTCACTGTGGGTCTGAAGTCACAGCCTTAGTGCCTGGGTCTGTGCAGGCGTTCCTGAAAACTTCATCCCCCACCAGCATCATTCCTGACCCCATCCTCCAGGGAATGAACCATGTCTGTAGTCGCCATTTGCCCCGGTGGTCTCTCTACACCTCCGCTCACCTCATTTCCATGGGAACTGCAAAGAAGGTTGTCCTCGGTTTCTCCGTCTCTCCAGAAGCTTTAGGAGTGAGCTGTGTACAAGCTGGAAACCAGAAGATCAAGTCCTAGAGGCAGCAGGGCTGTCCCCAGCGGACTGTGTGCCCCGCTCCACCCGCCCTGAGGCCCTGGCCTGCCCGCAGAGGTGGGATAAGATGGGCTTTGAAGCCACATCCTTCCAGCTCAGCCTTCAGACCCTCCGCTGGATGGGGAGGGTGTCCTGGAGGATATTCCTCAATCAAGAAAGCATCCTAGAGCAACAGAAAGGGGCATTCCCTACACTGAGGGCAAACATGGAACAAAGCTGGAAAGGAGGCTGGGCAAAGTAGATCGGGAGCTCTAGAGACACTGCAGGCAAGAGATGGCCGCTCCGGGTCTCACCAGTGCTTTTGGCAAATCCTTGACCAGAAGCCTTCTCCAAAACCTAAGGGAGAAAAGGAAAAGGTATCCCTCAGGCATGGCAGTATTTATTTCATTGATTTATAGCTGAACCCCTCCAAGCAGATGGGGAGACAGAGCAGCAACAGCCCCTCGCTGACACAGGCTTTAGGAGACTTCTGGGACACCCCCACTTTCCCCTCTCTCGCTGGGATCCTGAGCCAACCAAAGAAGAAACGTTCAGAAACGGACGGGAGGGAGGGAGGTGGCGCTGGGGGTACTCCATCAGGACTGAGTCCCAGAAGTCCAGGACTGCTTAGCCTGGGAAGTCCCTGCTGGCACTTCTCAGAGGGAGAAAGAGGAGAAAGCGGGGGAAATGGTTATGCTGGAAGCAGGGCTGGGTGGGGACAGAAAGGCCTGGGTGCCCTGCCACTCATTACACCCTGCAGCCCCTCAACCCACGCTGGCTCCCCTCTCTCCAGTGCTCTCACCTGGAACCCCCAGCCCCAGTTAAACACACGTATCTGCCGCTTATCACCGCTGACTGCTGCTGGAGAACACACACGACCACTGTTCGCCAATGGACACAAGGCTGCACTCCCGCCATGAGCCCCTAGAAGGTCTACTTGCCTCCTCTCCCAGTGGACCACTTCACACCCTCTCCTCTCTTCAAACCCTCCACACTCCCCACACAAGCCCCACCTGACAAGCTTATACCCCTTCATCCGGGAAAACCGAAAGTACTCAGCTGGGAAGTCCCTCATCTTCTCACCACCCAAACCACCGAATTCCCCCTCGCTTACTCTCTCAACCATCCCTCCTGTTACTTACCGTGGCCACTGTCTCGCACCATCATGCCTTCTTGAGGACAGCACCCCTGCGGCCAGGACCTCTTTCTCAGCCATTGCTCTCTCCCTCCCATGTGGACGCCTCTCACCAGGAAACAAACATGCTCTATTCTCCACATTTGAAAAGACCCTGACTTGACCCCTCTGGCTACCACCTTTCTCTGCCGCCTTCACTAAAAGTGTTGTCTAGAGGCCTGTCTACTTCCACACCTGACATTTTCTCTTCAACTCGTACCAGTCAGGCTTCCCTGAAATGGCCCTGCCCTGCGTCAGCAATGACCTTCATGTTCTCCACTCTAAATTTACTTGTAGTATGCTACCCACTCCCTCCTTCCAGAAACACTTCTTCTCATCTTCCTTGAAACTGCACACATCTCGTTTTCCTTCTCTTTCACTTTCTTTTCCTTCTTTCTTTTCAGCTCAACCAGTAAGTGCCAGCACATCCCAGGACTCAGTCCTCTCCTCCATCTACCTTCTCTCCAAGGTCATCTCCAGTTCCACGGTTTTATGTATCAACAGTACAGCACAGACTCCCAAATCCAGATCTCCAGCCCTCATCACTCTCTGGAATTCCACTTGACTACGGAGATGCCCATTTGATGGGACAGCTAAGAGACACACAAACTCAGCCTGTCTACAATAGACCCTCTCCCGAGCTGCTTCACCCAGCTTTCTCAAATTTAGTAAATTGCATCATTATCTACCTAGTGGTTCAGGCCAAATTCCTCTCTCCCTAGCTCCCTACATCAAATTCATCAGCAAGCCAAGCCATCTCTTCCTCCAAAACACACCTGAACCCACGTACTCCCTTCTTTCTGTATCTACCACCCCAATATTAGCCATTGCCATTTCTTACCAGATGTCCAAAGAATTTCCTGATGCCACATTGGCCCCCACAATCCAATCACCACCCAGCGGACAACACGATCTCTTACAAACAAAAATCAGATCCCATTACTCCCCTGACGAAAACCTTCCAACATCTTCCCACTGTGCTTACAAATAAAGCCAGAGTCTCCACTTTGGCTCACCAAGGCTCCCAAGATCTGACTCTCCTTTCCACTGACCTCCTCTCTGCCCACTCTCCCCTTCACCCACCATCTCACACCTTTGGGTACTTGTAGGCGCTCCCTTGTCTGGAATGTTCTTCCTCTGGTCTTCGCATGGTTGGCTCTGACTTGTCATCCAGATCTCAGCTCAGGTGTCACTTCCTTACAAAGAGGCCTCCCTAAGAACCATCTAAAGAAGTGACCTCTCAGTCTTTATCACATCACCTTATTTTAATTCTCTGGTAACTTATCCGGCATTTTCTTATTTGTTTACTTATTTATTGGTTTATTGTACGTCTCTTCCCACTGGAATACAAGCATCACGAGAATGTGAATCACATTTGTCTTTTGACAATTACCTTGATCACTACATGACCCCAGGGCCTAGAACATGGGGTTATGCCGGGTGCATACTAAGCTCTCAGTAAATATATGTTGGAAGGAAGGAAGGAAAGAAGGGAGGGAGAAAGGAAGGAAGGAGAAATGACCTGAGGCAAATTCTTAATCCTCTAAATCTTGGTTTCCTCTTCTACAGCGTGAATCACACCTGCGCTGAGGTGAGGATTTAGTGGGCTAGCATCCGTTCAGGACACGACATGCAGCAGGTGTGGAATAAATGGAAGCAGTGTGAGAGAGTGGTCCAAAGTGCGGGTTCTGGAGTCAGACTGTCTGGGCTCCAGTCCTGGTTCCAGAACTGACTGGCTCCTTAACTCTGGGACAGTTACTTGGTGTTCTCACCTGCAAGACAGGAGAGTAATAGCACCTCCTGCTGTAATTAGACAAGTTCACACAGCAAAGCGATTAGAACTGAGCCTGCAGAATGAGCCCTCCAGGAAGCCTAACTACCATTGTCAACCGATGAGACCCAGACCCAGTCTCCAAGCTAAGCCCTTTGCCTCTCCTGTGCGCCAACAACACAGCAGAGTGACAGAGCTGAAAATCATCCTCTAGCCAAGCACGTACGGTATCTTTTTATTTAGAATCTCCTAAGACCGTTCTAAATACCAACCCCAAGAACCAATTATCACCAGCAGTTTCAAGCTAAAAATTATTATTAATACAGAAACATTTTAAACCATTTTGGGTCTAATCATTATTTCCTAATGATTTAAGACATAAATATAACAACCCTGTTTCGACATTAAGTTTCAGAGGAAAATCTACCTAATCATCATCCAACCACTAGAGCAGGCACGTCACCCAGAAACAAACCTCCAATTTCAGGATGTGTTTGTAACCCAGAAGCGGCCACCTGGAAGCAACAGAGATCAAGGCAGCATCTCAGGAGCTGCCAAACCAGACGATTTTAATTAAGTTCTATTGTTGCCACAAGCAGAGTAACCCTCCTGCCCAGATCAATCAACAGCTGTTAATGGTCTCTTTACTTTGTCTGGGACATTTCTGCCAGCTGGTCAAGTGTTCTAAGAGGTAGCCTGCTCCAGAATCACGCTGGGGAGTCAGAGCAGTGGGAGAAAAGATGCAGCGCACACGAAGGTCAGTGGCCAGAGGCTTTGGGGTGGAGGAGGGTCCACTGGCTCCCCCACCCACGCCGGGGAGAAGCCCTCACACCACCACTCAGCAGGGGTGCAGCTCATGCAACACTCAGAACAGTGACGGCCCCCCTGCCTGCAGCCTCCAAGTCCGCTCACCGCCACACCATGGAGCGCTGCTTGTCACCCTGGGCCATCTCTTTTTTAGGCCCCTGCCTACCCGGAGAACAGCACCTGAAAGGCACATTCTGGTGGAAATTTACTATTTACAGCTTTAACCCTCAACTGCTTCCCTTTCGTCCAACAGACCTTGCATTTCTACTATGTGCCAGGCACAGAGTGACAAAGACGAAAGACACAGACCCTGTTCTCAGGGAGCCCACATTTAGTCACTCTACAAACACTTATAAAATGTGTACGTTCTAGACAGTGCCGCCATAAAGCTCACACTTTGGTGGGGGCAGCAGACAGTAAGAATACAAACAGGAATAACGTCGGGTGGCCATAAGGGCAATGAAGAAACACAGGGTAAGGAGAGGGGACAAAGAGTGCTGGGCAAGAGGGGGTTGGTGACAGCTGAACAGAGACCTGAATGAAGCGAGAAAGCAAACCCTGCAGACAGCTGAGAGGAGAGCCTGTGGGCTGAGAACAGCAGGGCCAAGGCCCTAAGGTGGGGATGTGCTTGATGAGTTGGCGGTACAGCACCAGGGCTGGCATGACAAGGCACTTTAATGTCTTACCTGGACCACGTGAGACAGGTCTTGCTGCTTCCACTCTGGCCCCTGGCATCTATTCTACAGGGTCCCTTTAAAACGTAAATCTAGATGAATGAACAAAGGGTGGCCCATCCATACAACAGGAGACCACTTAGCAATAAAAAAGAGAATTGCTGATGGTGCAACCACATGGATGAATCCCAGTAACATTCTGCTGAGTGAAAGAAGCCAGACACAAAGAAGCACATGCAGCATGATTCCATTTACATGAAACTCTGGAAAAGATAAATCTCATCTAAAGTGATAGAGAAAGTAGATCAGTGGTTGCCTGGGGCCACAAGGCGGGGAGTTACTGACAGACAGGGAAAAGGCATGAGAGGGGCTTCCGGGTGACCAAAATGTTCTATATACGATCGTGATAGAGGTTACGTGGCTGCATACATTTGTCAAAATCCATCCAACTGTACACCTAAAATGGGTTCATTTTACTTTCTGCAAGTTATACTTCAATAAGTATACTTACCGAATAATTCAATAAAGTTGATGATTTAACGTAAATTGGTTAAATCCAGTTATGTTGCTCCCTGCTCAAACCCTCCAGTGTTCTATTATGTGACTACGTAAACACGAATTGCTGCTGAATCAAGTTATATTATATTATTTTTATTCTTATACAGCCATTTCCCCAGGAATTAACTGCCTTTTTTTCCTCCCTCTATTTACACAGATTTCCTTAAATCTCTAGTTAGGTTTCCCCACACACCTCCAATGGCTCTTTATAACACCTCTGTGCTCAATTTTCCATTTTTCTTTGGGCAAACATCACCCCAGAGTTTCACACCGTCCTGCCCTGTCCTGGACTGGCTGCTGCACAAGTGTTGTACCCCTTTGTCATCATCTGGGGAGTCTCTGGTCCCTCTATTGGGTTGGATATCCCGCTCCC